TACATGCCGAATAGTCGTTCAAAGAACTGGATTTCTGCACAAATATTCCATTGAATGGAATTTCAGCGTATTCGTGAGTATGACNTTCAGAGTTGTCTTCTAACAAGGCTCGAAAATTTTCTAAGCCTTCTATTTTTCAGCTGACCCCTGGCTTCCACTACTTATAGTCTTGTACTTTTGGTTCCTATTGATGAGTGCACTCTTTACTGGTCTCAACCTTGCGCTAATGTCTCTGGATCTTGACGACCTCCGCGTAAGTTGAGAAATAGAAGCAGATAGAAAAATTAACAATAAAATATATACTTTTACACAAAAATAAGTGATGAACTATGTTGAATTAGTTGCCCTGCAATGACTATATAGAGAGAAAGTGGGTACGTCCAAAAAGGAAAATCGTACCGCTGGTGGTTACATTCACTCACACTAATCCTCACACAAGTTGTGACCCATGATTCCTGCAAATCTAGTCCCACTACAACGAGCGAGGGACATCTTAGGATGGCCTGTTCAGTAATTTCTCATGTCGTCTGCTCTCTCTCACAGCGCTACAAAAGGGCACTCAACGAGACCTTCGCAACTTTTACATCACCTGATCAAAAACAAAAATGGATCTTTGGCGCAGTGAGGGGGTGTGGTGCACCGAATCGAAATCGTCGCGTCGCGGCGAGAGGGACGCCGTGCGCGAAGGAATGTAGCAGAAGCAGCGGTAGATAATAAATTTAAGAACAAAAGAACTAACAGTAGAATCATGCCTAAAATAATGATCGAATATCAATTGAGCTATATGAAGAATGCTGGAGCTGTAATAATGACCATTCAAATAGCCCGCGACAGCCGCTTGCGGCGAATCGATTACACAGAACCGATCCTACTGTCCGTATCCCGCACTGAGGCTCCACGAATCCATCCAACTAATTCCGCTGCTGACGTCTCTTTGATTTACAACCTGACCCAAATTTTCCTACCCCGTGCTCACAATTTGAGCATCCTCACTACTACAACCCAAAGGGTTTCTGAGTTTAACATTCCCTTTCTGACCACCGACTACTGCAGCTGAAGCGCATTTCGTGAAGAGTTTCACGAATAGCCATCAGCATTCAGCGACAGTTCGAGTGGTCAGTATCGAATGTAATACACAAGCTTTCTGCAAATCTCTGCAGACGCCCAACTCTTCGGAAACCCATGAAATGTACATGCCGAATAGTCGTTCAAAGAACTGGATTTCTGCTCCATTGAATGGAATTTCAGCGTATTCGTGAGTATGACGAGAATCCAAAAACACGGCGTTACGCAGCAAATATTATTCCGATTCGAGAAAATGGGAACTTCATGTTGTGCACGATTATACTTGGTTAGGACTTAACAGCTCCCACCTACTTAACCATCTTCGAGTTTTATTGAAATATTTTTGAAACAATTTTTATCACAGGTAACACAATTTGCAATGCGATTTGTGTGCTGACGTTTGATCGAATGACTCGCGGGCTCGTTATGACGCTTACTGAGCGAATGATCTTCATCAACATCATTCCAACGTTATTCATCATGTTCTTTTCTGAAGTGATCCCTCAAGTTATTTGTACCAAGTAAGTATTGACCTGGTTTCACATTCCTCATTTCCCTTATAATGCACACAGCCCCACACATGAGGGAGTTAAGAAGTAGTAACTGGCCTTAACTGCTACGTACCCATACGGTCCCAAGAAACAAGTCCCTTGGGTGGGAGAAAACTAATTCTTCCGACTTTACGGCCTACTCAATGATGATCGCATAACACTACAAAAAACGATTAGCAGGCAAAGATTGGGTTCTCTCGAGAATTCAGTGTGTGGATGTACAACCCCATTCACTTGTAGGGTCTAATATAATATAAGGCACATCACTGCAAGTTCACAAAAAGCCGAGGCCGTCCGGTCCTGAATTTACCTTCCGAGGTCCAAGTAGTCCCGACAGTTTTGGAGCGGGCTTCACAGAGTTGGCTACGTCTTGTGGATTAGAATCGTATGGAGTATATAAAGGCTACTGCTTGAGAGGTTTCTCTTTCCAGGTATGCTCTACCAATAGGAAGCCGTTGCCGCCATCTTATGGTATTTTTCATGGTATTAACGTTTCCAGCGAGCTACCCATTATCAAAGCTTCTCGACTATGTCGTGGGGAAAGGTCAGTCTTCTAAATACATGTATCAGAAATACGTTTTCATTTGCTATAGCAAGACATTTGCGAAAGCAAAAGAGGTAGAAAAGACCCTTATAAGTTTAGCACTTCTCGTTTAGCTCAAACTGATCAAGCAAAAGGATGCATAGTACTTGTATCGTCGATGAGGGGGCATCTCGGTCTCTGTGAACAAATGAAGCATCACAGGCGACGATCTCAGACGATCCCAACATGCAGCATTTTGCCAGCGTAAGGATAACAGCGTCGCCTGACCATAACTCAAAGACCATTAAGGCGAGTATGGTGCACACAGACCAAGAAGGCTGAGGGAACTAGCCGACACGCTTATTCTTGTGCTCTTCGTATTACTTCACGATACTTATATGGTTGTCACTGAAGGATTTTACACCTGCACTTTACACCAGCCATCCTCAGCATGAAGCCATGGATATGGGTGTAGTGCATATTAGCAGTTGCATTGACTGCAACAAGGTTGGGCTTGTCTACGAACTGATGATGCCCTCAATATCAAACTCCACCGATGTGATGCTTGCAAGCACTGATCTCCGCTCCTTGATATTGATAGCACTTGATGCAAATTGTTCTGAGTAGATCGCTTCATGCCATTACATTAGTTTCTGATGTGCGGGCAGGTGTTTTGCAGAGATCCGTATGACGATAGATCGCCGAATGTTGGGCGATTTGATGCGTCAACAGCAGCAAAAGTACGAGACTGTAAACATGGCCGATGTGCTGGAAAATGCTATGAATCTTCAAGTACGACGCGTCCGCGATGTAATGACACCGATCGAGAAGGTATGCCCTTCACCTCAATTACCTGATTCCCACTGTTCCTTCTGCTAATTTTGAGCAAAACGAAAGACTAGTCAACACAATCTCAGAGGTGGTTGTGGAATGTTTGAATCATCAGCAACCCGTTAGACTAATGGCACATACCCATTCGACCAAGCTTAGGTGTTCATGATATCCGACAAAACCCAAGTTAACGCCAAACTGAAACGACAGCTGAGTGAAAATCGACACACTCGAATACCAGTTTACAGAGGCGACGACCGTAACTGCGTAAGTGTGCCAGCTGTTC